CTAACCATTCTGACTATTTGATTAATTTTTTGACGTGGGTGGGGTGTCAGCTTCACACAGCTCAGGTTTACTTGTGGTTCCTGGAGTTTCTAAAAGTAGAATGGGAGGCAGAGCTTTCAGTTATCAAGCTCCTCTCTTGTGGAACCAACTTCCAGTTTCTGTCCGTGAGGCTGACTGTCTACTTTTAAGATTAGACTGAAGACTTTCCTTTTCGATAAATCCTATTCTGTAGTATAGGTTTCCTGAATTATTCTTAGACTTAGACTGCTGGAGCACAAACTGAGCACATTTCCTCACTCTGCTGTTGTCTTTAGTCTCTCTTCTCTACATGTTTATTGTAATTATTTCCATCAATAACATGTTTTTTTGTCTCTCTTCCAGAAGAAGGTGCACATGGACCAGTTCTTCTGTATTTACCTGTGCCTCTTTCCTGTCCCTCAACCAGCCGGTCGAGGCAGATGGCCGCCTGTCCTGAGCCTGGTTCTGCTGGAGGTTTCTTCCTGATTAGCAGGGAGTTTTTCCTCTCCACTGTTTGCTCAGGATGGGAGACTGTGATGAAGTGATTCAACACAGTCTGCTGATTTCTTCTTTAGATTGTTCTTTTCATGTACAGTGCCCTGAGACAATGTATGTTGTGACGTAGCGCTATATAAATAAAATGAATTGAATTGAATTGAAGTGAAGTGAAGTGAAAAAAAAAACATTCAAAATTCAGTTTTTGAAATAATCTGCAAGATATGCTTTATTTGTGATGCAATTGAAGAAATTTTATGTAATTTATGGACAGTCACGATATAACATGTATGCATATTCGTGTGTTAAAAATGAGCTTATCTTGAGATTTTCATAGGTTTAACATGACATTTCTCAGAGAACATCCTTGAACATGAAATCTGAGGCAGTGATTGGTCCATGCTGGGGATTTTGTAACAAAAGCAAAGTGTCGTTAATCAGCTCTAAGTCTGACACTTTAGAATTACACTTTGTGTAAAGTGAGACTGCTGCTTGATAGGCTCAGTTTTTAGCTAAGAATTTTTTAAACTTAAGTCCTTTTTTAACAGCATTCTTAAGAGTAATTCTCAGAAGTTTGACAAATACAGGCCCAGTTAAAATCAACAAAGCAGTGGCTGAATGTTAAAATCATCCAAACAGTAGCTTAAAGTTAAAAATTGAAAATCAGCAGCTAAAAGTTGAAATCAAAACAGTAGCTTGATTAAATTTGCTAAACATATAGCTAAAAAAACATTAATTTAAAGTTAAAATCAATAAAACAGTAACTATAAGTTAAAGGGTCAAAAGAAAAAGAAAACAGGTGAAGAAATTTATTGGTCATTTACTTACTGATTCTAAAAGCACAACATCATTTTATAGTTTTCCCAGATAATTACTGGTTTCTATAAACTATTGTGTGATTAAATAGTTTTAGTTACATGCCTGGAGCACATGTAGTAAACATGTTTCAGGTTTCTGTCTTTCCCTTGAAGTGGGAGCAGGTTTGGTGTGCTTCAACTGGAACAGCATAGACAAATAAAGATCCAGATTATATATTTAGCCCTTTTTAAATACAAATTTCAACCTTATTTTGATAGTTTAGATCTTTGAAGTGGGGTTCAATGCAAATGTTTTTTTTTTTGTATTATCTTATTTGTTATAGACAACTCTTTGAACATTCTTGGTTGAAGAAATGATTTAATTATGATACTGACAAGCTAACACTGAGCCTTAGCAGTGAAAAAGATCGTTCAAGCAGAAATATTTATGACATCTCTGCTGGAACTGCCCCCCCAGAATTTCTCAGCGGTGCCACAGCTAGCTGTTGCTGTCACTATTTGTGCTTGAATTTAATGTAAACATGAAACCGTTGGCTGTGCTTAATTCAACGTGTGATTTTTGAGAGTATTTGATTTTTGAACCCAATTTCACAATTTATTTGCTCATATCTTTTCCACAGAATCCCATTCCAGAAGATCTGAAAATATATCTTATTTTGCAGTAAAACGTTACTTTGCTGCACAAAGATAATGGCTAAAATCAGTGAGACGGAACTGACTGAGTCCCTCCTGAGCCATACTGAGAACATTTGGACTCCTTTTTTTTTCATTTTTTGGACTGTGTTTAATATTTAAACAATCTAAATGAAATATAGATCCTTATGCATTAAAGTTTTATATTTGCACTATATACTATTTTTGATTTTTCTTTACTTTTTGCAAAAATCATCGATATTAAAACAATTAAAGGCTTGAAGTACTTCAGTTG